GGGGCAAACGCCCAAGGATCATCAGTTCTCTCCTAAGGAGTGGGTGTCTGGATAAGTGAGGGGGTTCTGGCTTATGAAACAGAGGGTTCAAATTTGGATCCAGAGCTGAACTGCTCAAAGCAGTGAGGAGAGGCAGAGACCTCCCAGCTCCAAACAAAATGAGCATAGAACAAACCCATGAGGAACAGGGAGAGGTAGGAGGCGGGAGGGACCCCATCTCCCAGGTCAGCTCTGGAGGAAGGTCCTGTTCTTACTTTCAACCTACAGAGGCTGAGGCCACAGCAAGGAAACAGTGTCCAGATTTGAATGCAGATCCACTGGCCCTTGAAGTCCTTGCTTTTAAGTGCTAGACCCCAGAGGGGCGATATCATGAGCCCTTGAAATGTGGGGAGGGAGGGCGGACCTCCCTCACTGGGGGTGCTGGGGACCCTTCAGCCCACCAGCATCCACGAGAGCAGAGGCAAGAGGTACGTTCTCCTTTGGAAGATGCAGAGATTTGGGCCGAGAGAGGGGGCGCCACTTCTCCACGGCTCCCAACAGGTTACCATCCTGAGTAGGAAAATCTTGGAGGGTCAGATGGCCCAGGGTCAACTCTTGACTCTACTTGTTCTGTGGCCTTGGGCAACTGCCTTCACTTCTCTGACCCTGCTCTCTTCTCAGTGACATGGGGATGGCAATGCTCTCCTCCTCCAAGTGTGGAGGGATTAAATTCGCTGACTCAGGAGAAGGCTCAGCCCAGCCCAGCACTGGGGGATGCTCAGCAAATGGTAGCAGCCTATGCGGGTACATCACCTGCCACAGGCTCTCGGTTGAGTCAAAGAAACAGTGACTGGTGCAGCCCTGGGAACTGCCTCCATGTGTGTGTGTGTGTGTGTGTGTGTGTGTGTGTGTGTGTGTCTCTCTCTCTCTCTCTCTCTCTCTTTTTGGTGTCTCTCTGTGTCCGTGTCTATAAAGTGGGATAAGCTTCCCCTGGCTCACCTGGCAGCAGGAAGATAAAAGTCAGAGGCACAGAAGGCAGAAGACTTGGGCTGTGGGTCTCTGTGCCCCACAGACCACCTTTTTCTAGGCTGGCGGCTGGCTTGATTCCACAGGGATACAGGAAGAAGCAGCAACCCTGGAATTCTCCACAGGTGTCTGGGTCAAAGTTCCTAGGGAAGAAGGCCTCTTATCTCTGGACTTACCTGCCATAATACAAGATGGTTTCAGGCTTGATGGCTCCATCCAGATGGACGTGCAGTTCTACCTGCAAGGGCGCAGAGGAAAAGGAGAGAAAAACAAACACCCATGAATGCCTGAAGGACCTTACAGAGGGTCATTGTTAACACTAACTGTGATAACCGTTAGTCACCACATACATTTCACTAAACTGTTCACACGCATTATCCTGTTTCATCCTTGTCTGTGGGGTGGGTTTAATTATCATCTCTGCCTCTTTCACAGTGGAGAACACTGAGGTTCAGAGAGGTTAAGTAACTTGTCCAAGACCACACAGCTCTAAGTGATGGAAACAGGAACCCAACCCAGTGCCTTTGTTCTTAACCACAGCTGCTAAGTGGCAGAACCGGAATTCTAACCCAAGCCCAATTCTGAAGCTGGTGCTCTTTAACACGAGGCCAGCCATGGGCCCGGAGGAGTGACAGAGCCTCAGCCACCATGCAGGCAGATCCCACTCTCGGCCAACTCACCAAACAAGATCCAGCTCTAACAAAAAGGATTGGCCACAGATTCTGGACTAGTGAATACCTACAACATATTTCAAAAATCAGTCTCCATTTTCAAAAGCATGTGTTACTGAAAATGAAACATAGCTTATCAGGAATCAATATTTGACAATAAGATCCTTCTAGGACTCCAGAAAGGGCACCAGATACTTGGCCATCTTGGTGATCCTCTCCTACATGCTCAGCCCCATGGACAATACTCCATACACAAGGCCAAGAGTTTAAGGACAAGGACTTTGGGGAGAGCTCATCAGGCTGGATGCCCAGCTCTGCCTCTTCTCTGGCTGTGTGATCTTAGACAAGACACTTGATCTCTCTGAGCCTCAGTTTCCTCAACTGAAAACAGCTGCAAAGATTGCCTCCCTGTCCAAGAAGAGTTTAAGGATTTAAAAAGACAGTGTATAATGATGAAAAAGCTGAAAGAGAAATTAAGGAAACACTCCCATTTACCACTGCAACAAAAAGAATAAAATACCTAGGAATAGACCTACCTAAGGAGGCAAAAGACCTGCATGCAGAAAACTATAAGACACTGATGAAAGAAATTAAAGATGATACAAACAGATGGAGAGATATACCATGTTCTTGGATTGGAAGAATCAACATTGTGAAAATGACTATACTACCCAAAGCAATCTACAGATTCAATGCAATCCCTATCAAACTACCAATGGCATTTTTCACAGAACTAGAACAAAAACTTTCACAATTTGTATGGAAACACAAAAGACCCCAAATAGCCAAAGCAATCTTGAGAAAGAAAAACGGAGCTGGAGGAATCAGGCTCCCTGACTTCAGACTATACTACAATGCTACAGTAATCAAGACAGTATGGTACTGGCACAAAAACAGAAATATAGATCAATGGAACAGGATAGAAAGCCCAGAGATAAACCCACACACGTATGGTCACCTTATCTTTGATAAAGGAGGCAGGAATGTACAGTGGAGAAAGGACAGCCTCTTCAATAAGTGGTGCTGGGAAAATTGGACAGGTACATGTAAAAGTATGAGATTAGATCACTCCCTAACACCATACACAAAAATAAGCTCAAAATGGATTAAAGACCTAAATGTAAGGCCAGAAACTATCAAACTCTTAGAGGAAAACATAGGCAGAACACTCTATGACATAAATCACAGCAAGATCCTTTTTGACCCACCTCCTAGAGAAATGGAAATAAAAACAAAAATAAACAAATGGGACCTAATGAATCTTAAAATCCTTTGCACAGCAAAGGAAACCATAAACAAGATGAAAAGACAACCCTCAGAATGGGAGAAAATATTTGCAAATGAAGCAACTGACAAAGGATTAATCTCCAAAATATACAAACAGCTCATGCAGCTCAATATCAAGAAAATAAACAACCCAATCCAAAAATGGACAGAAGGCCTAAACAGACATCTCTCCAAAGAAGATATACAGATTGCCAACAAACACATGAAAGAATGCTCAACATCACTAATCATTAGAGAAAAGCAAATCAAAACCACAATGGATATCATCTCACACCGGTCAGAATGGCCATCATCAAAATATCTAGAAACAATAAATGCTGGAGAGGGTGTGGAGAAAAGGGAACCCTCTTACACTGTTGGTGGGAATGTAAATTGATACAGCCACTGTGGAGAACAGTATGGAGGTTCCTTAAAAAACTACAAATAGAACTACCATACGACCCAGCAATCCCACTACTGGGCATATACCCTGAGAAAACCA